TGCCCTCTTCTCTGGACTCCTTACTCTTTCTGCTGCCTTTCTACTGGTACTCCTTGGATTCTACATACTGCTGTCTTTCAGCCACACCCCTGATCTTATGGTAGGTAAGATCAACCACCTAGCCTTCTTGGATAAGGGTGAAAAATCTTGGAAGCTGCGTGTGTAACTTGTGCTCATTGAAGATCCCTTGTTGGTCCTAAAATCTATAAGAATAGGCTTCGGCCGTCACCCAGGTAAATTTTTTTAAAATTCTTACCAAACTGAAAATGTGTAATGTGTCCCGCTCGCTCAAATGACCTTATGCACTTGCAAGTGGGGTAAAACACTTACCAAAACAGAAAAAGATAGGTAAACAGTCAATCAGTATTGAGGTAGTTGTCACATGTATTCTGACTTTTCTTTTGCAGACCACAGATTACCAGTGCTTTTAGACTCATCATGGCACTTCATGCAGACAAGGCAAATGATGTGGCAACTGCTTCGAACTTCAAGCAGGTTGTCACAAGGCACCTCCACCTTGATATAGATGTGGATTTTGAAAGCAAGAGAATACTGGGACAGGTCAAGCTATCATTGGACACTCTGGCAGACAAGTTGGAATCAGGTTATAGGATTTTTTAGATTCAAATTTCCCTTTTATTTGAGAATTAAGTTAAGGTTTTTACAAGTTAAGAAGAAGGGAAACATTTTTTGTGATTACTAAAGGCTTGTAGGGTAATGTATCATTTAACACTTTGCAGTCACTTGGCGCAATGATGGGCAGGTGAAAATTGTCCGTTCCAGTCACCTGGCACATTCTGCGAAGTTTATTGCAGTTGCTCTCTTGGCTGGGGGACCAGATGCTGTATTTTGTACTGCTGGCTGTGTGACTGCAAAGTGTTAATGACTCTCATTATGAAGAATTGCATGATCCTTTTCATGAATCTTTTAAAACCCTATGAAATATAATATATTGACATCGTTTTTATTACCCTATTTTTAATGTTTTTTCCTTCTGAACGAAATTTTAGTATCCTGGACTTTTACTTTCTTGTCTGATGTTCTTTAATTTAAAAAAAACAACATTTTATTATGATTTCAAGCTTACAAATTACAATCTAAATTTTTGTTGCAGAAAACATTTTTGTGGCTATTGTTAGTGGAATTAAAGGTCATTCTTGCATCTGCCTATAA